CCTGGCATGATACTTGACACATGAAAACTGCTCACAAAAATATTCATAGATTTAAATTGAAAAGCAATTTGGTTAATATGCTACTTGGTTTACATTTTAAGAAATACTGTTTCCTTTGTTTTGGTAAAATTAGTACTTCTTCCCTATAAAGAATGTAAGCAATGTAAGGGAAAGAAACCATCCCAAATCTAACTACCTAAAAACAATCGCCATTGACATTAGGTCCTATGGTTCCAAACACTATCATCTACGTGATTATATAGAAAAGTGAGCAGTGCTAGCTCACCCAAAGATGCCTCAGAAGAGAGATCTGGTAATCTGTTTCTGAAAAGTCAGCACAGTTCTAGTCTAACATACATGGAGTCATCCTGAATTGGAATTGATTTAATGGGAACTGGTTTTTTATACAGAAGGAAGGAAAAATAAAGAGAAAAAATAAAAATAAGATTATTCTTCAAAGGTATTTCATTAAATAATATTCATTTTAATCTCATTTAAATTTAATGAAAAAGACGCTGAAATAAACCTAAACTAAAACCAAACTCACTGCCCTTGTGTCAATTCCAACATGTGGTGACCCCCATTGGGTTTCCAAGGCTGTAAATCTTTATGGAAGCAAACTGCCCCATCTTTCTTCTGCATGGTGGCTGGGGGGTTCAAACCACCGACCTTTTGGTTAGAAGTCAAATGCCTTAGCTACTACCCCACCAGAGCTCTATGAAATAAACCTAAAGGAACTGTTAAAGTATGGGAAAAAAAAGTGTTCTGGATTGAATTTTGTTTCCTCAAAATATGTATTGTAAATCCTAACCTCTATGCTTGTGGTTAGAATCCCATTTGGGACTGGATTGCCTTTGTTATGTTAATAAGGCAGGATTAGTGGAGAGTATGTCTTGAATCAATCTCTTTTGAGATATAAAAGAGATTCAACAAGTGAGAGAAGCAGAGACTGATGCCAAGTCACATGGAGATCTCCAAGGAACCAGGAAACAAACTAAATAGGCAAGGAACTTCCCCTAGAGCTAACAGAGAAAGAAAGCCTTCCCACAGAGGCGGTGCCCTGAATTCGTACTTCTAGCCTCTTAAACTGTGAGAAAATAAATTTCTGTTTGGTAAAGCCATCCACTTCTGGCATTTCTGTTATAGCAGCACTAGAGAATTGAGGGGAGCTCTGGTAGCGCAGTGCCTAAGGCACTTGACTGCTAACCAGAAGGCTGGCGGTTCAGTCACTCCTCAGAAGGAAGGTTAGGCAATCTATTTCTGTAGTGACACTGCCTCAGAAACCCAAGGAGGGGTCGCTATGAGTCGGGTCCAACTCGACCGCACATAACAACAGTAAAAAAAAAAAAAAAAAAAAAAAGGTCTCTCTTGAGCACTGTGCTCTTTTAAGATCTATCTATGTGGGATCAAATTGATAAAAGCAACTTGAAAGATTAGATAGGAATCTTAGGGGGCAGTGAATTTATTTTAACAGTGGAGGAGCTACTAAGAAAAGGGGAGTTGCACAAAGAATAGTTACACGACTCAAAGAATGCAATCAATGTCAGTAACTGTGCATGTAGAAACTGTTGAACTGGTAGATGTTTTGCTGTGCATATTCTCAACATCAAAACAAATAATTTTTTTAGATGCTAAAAAATAAAGTTGTAGCGTACTACAGGCATGTTTTCCATCTTGCTTTTTTCACTTAATATATCTTAGAGATCATTTCATATCACTACGTAGAACATTGCCTCATTCTTTTTAACAGGTTCATAGAATTTCATCATTAGACCATAATTTATTTAACCAGTTCCCTATTGCTGCATCTTTAGGCTATTTTCAATGTTTTGATATTACAAACAATACTACAGTCAATATATGTATATATAAAATTTTCTATAGCTGTGAGCATGTGATAAGGTCTTGAACTGAGGCTGGAGCAACTGGAAAAGAGAGGAGATGAGAGACAGAGAGAGAGCAAGCATGAAAGGAGGGAGAATTTATAAAACGCAGTGACTGATTGCATACTAGAGATGAGAGAGACAAAGAAATTTGTATTTTTGGGTATTTCCAGCCCCGAGCAGAGGGAAAGGACTTAATACATATTTTCTGAATGCAGCCACAACAATGGTTTAAATTTTTGTAGTGTAAGTTATGGTCTCAAGTAAATGAACTGTTCTCACACCCAAAGTTGTTTTGATTTTCATGACCTGTCCCCCTTGACATTCCTAAAGGGCTTTGGCTTGACAGTTTACTGATAAGTAGTCAATGACTTTTTTATTGAGCAACTCATTCTGTGGCTCCAAGTAATTTTGTGTTGTAGATTATAGGCAGTGCAGCAGTTGAAAAATAATTGCAAATCTGATTATGGAATGACTGTGTTCTTAAGTAGAATAGGTATTTTATTAATGAGAACAAACATCATATTTAGATTTTCAGTTAATTTCAGGTTAATGATATTGAACAAAACTGAAATTTATCGTAGGTACTGGACCTCACCAGATGGAATACAGAGGAATCAAATCAACTACATCTGTGGAAAGAGATGATGGAGAAGCTCAGTATCACCAATTAGAACAAGGCTAGGAGCTGACTGTGGAACAAACCATCAACTACTCATATGTAAATTCAATTTGAAGCTGGAGAAAATGAAAATAGGTCCACGACAGCCAAAGTAAAACCTTGAGTGTATCCCACCTGAATTTAGAGAACATCTCAAGAACAGACTTGATGCATTAAACATTAATGACCGAAGACTAGATGAGTTGTGGGATGACTTACTCAATCTGTATGCTGAGCAGATAATCTGAGAAGGTAGACTCTATGAAGAACGCAGCATCAGGATTATAGACTCATTAACAACCTGTGATATGCACATGACACAACCTTCCTTGCTGAAAAAGAAGACTTGAAGCACTTCCTGATGAAGGTCAATGACTGCAACTTTCAGATGGATTGTTGTTGTTGTTGTTATGTGCCGTCGAGTCGGCCCCGACTCATAGCGACCCCTCCTTGGGTTTCCGAGGCAGTATCACTATGGAAGTAGATTGCCCAACCTTCCTTCCGAGGAGTGGCTGGTGGGTTTGAACCGCCAGCCTTCTGGTTAGCAGTCAAGTGCCTTAGCCACTATGCTACCAGAGCTCCCGCAGATGGATTACACCTCAACATAAAACAGAAATCCTCACAACTGGACCAATAAGCAACATCATGGCAAAGGGAGAAGAGACTGAAGTTGTCAAGGATTTCATTTTACTTGGATCCACATGCCCATGGAAGCAGCAGTCAAGAAATCAAGGTACTGCAGGGGGCAAATCTGCTGCCCTTGTGTGCGGAGTAGAACCGCACCATAGGGCTTTCAAGGCTGTGACTTTTTGGAGGCAGAGCATCAGACCTCTGGGTGGGTTTGAAATGCCAACTTTCTGATTAGTGTTTGACCACTTAATGTAATGCTGTACAAAAAAACAAAACAAACAAAACCCCAAAATCATTCAAAATGCTGCGTGGCAAATAAAACTAAGTAAATTTTCTGCCATTAGAGAATCTGTTATTTAATTTGGGCATGGGGGCATCTTCCTCACCTGTATGCAACTCAGAACTCCTAGAATTTGTGACAAGGACCAATGGCTTCACTCCCTCCCAGCCTCCCCTACATCCAGTTAACCCTATATTCACTCATTTTGTGGTCACTAACAACCTGGAACAAACTTGCCCTCCCTCTGTAGTTGTTAGAGGTCCTCAAGTCGATTGCAATTCACACCAACATAGTATGATAGAGTAGAACTGCTCCATCGGGTTTCCTAGGCTTAGAGTTTGCCTAATTACACTCAGAACAACCTAAACCTTTGAAAGCAGTGGGCTCTGTCTCTCCCAGCCCAAGGTGAAGAGTTTAGTCCAATCAATGTATTTCTGAGAAACTCCCTGGACACGCTGCGTGTAAAACACTCAGTTAATACATGCGTTCAAGTGTGGTAGCGCAGGAGCACAGCACGCCATCCAGCCAGGCCCTAGGTGGGGATTTCTCTCTGGTTTAGCCATAAACCTGGAGCAACTGTGCAGAACCATTCTCCATTCCAGGCTGTCTCTCAATGCTGAGAAACTCCGTGGGAGTATCTGCCATGCACACACCTCCCACAGCTACAATAGACCCCATCGCACAGCCCACAAGCACCCCCCCCCACCCTTCCACTGGCCCTTGCTCCATGAAACCTAATTTAAGATGCCCTCTGGACTTGCAGTTTCCCAAAGCCCAAAACTGCCCTGCCTCAGAGCATTTATGCCTGCCTACTCTCATCTGGAAGCCCTCCCTTTTCACTTGTCCGTTAGGCCTCAGAGTGTATCTCGACCTCTTATTTATATGATAGCTGCTCCTGGAATCTGTAACTTTCTTCGGACGAAGGCTTTTATTTTTTAGCAAACCCGTTCTATCAGAGAGCCTTCCAGAGAGCACACGCTCAACTAACACTTGGGTAGAAGAAAAACAGGCAGTGAACAAGAATTCTAATTTATTAAAATTTATCATACATTCTTAAATGATACAGATTTATATATGTATGTTGTAATTTTCAAAGCAAAAATTTATAATACAAACTATGAATGGATTACTGTTTGTCTTCCCCCACCCCCTCCATTTTGTGATCCCAACTATTTTACTGTGGAGTTCTTTCACATTTTCACATAAATTCCCATTACAATTACATGTTATTTTATTCTGGACCATTTTAAAAAATTAATTTTTAATTTCTTTTACAAATGCCAAAACTATGCTAAAACTGACACAGAGAAACAAATGAATAAAACCATGTCATTGAGAAATGTACCATATAAAGCAAATAAATTTTGTGATAAAGGGACATCTAAAACATAGCCTCCAAAAATACAAGTATGTCTAAATTACTCATGTAGAACAGAAACAAAAGAAGATACACATTTTATTGCCTCCAGCTCAACCTTGACCTCTACTACTTAGAAGGCTGATAGCTCTTTTCAACTACAAAGTGAAGTATCTGTCTAAGACTTCACTACATATGGGAGGAGCTGCTTGACATGGCCTTGGAACTTGCATTGGCCATGCCACGATTTCTAGCCCTGGCTACAACTCTGGCATGGGCTCTCTCTGCCTCATCTCTCAACGCCTCTTCATACAGATCAGGGAAGGCACTGGGCACAGTATCATTGAGCTTGGCCAAAACCTCCAGGACTTTCATCTTGGTGATTTCAGCATGTGCTCTTGGACCCCACAGGAATTCATAGCGTGGAGGATCACTGCTGGGCACCTGCCGGTACTCAAGGTACCCTTCCTGCACCAAATCTTTAGTGAGGAACTTCTTGGGCTCCCCAAAGATTAAGTGCCTCCTCCCAGGACAGATCCCCAACATATTCAGGAATTCCCAGATCTCCTCCTCAGCGACCCGGTTACCTTTCATGAAGATCAGACCCAGGAGGTTCATCAGGAGACCTGTCCTGGGTATCCCCATGTCACCACATAAAGCCCTTCCACTACTGATATCCAGCTGGCTAGTAAGGGCATAGAAGCCACTACTGGGGCCGACTTCCTCCAATTCAAGGCCAAAGACTACCTCTAGGTGCTCAGTGGTTTTCCTCAGGATCTCAGGGAAGTGCTTCTTATACTTTTTGTTGACAATCTTCAACATGTCTGCTTTCCTAATGGGCTCTTTCATTACATACTTCTCCATCAGGAAGTGCACCAACTTGGTCACCTTCCTAGATAAAGGATCTTTGTTGGGGGTTGGCACCTGGGAGGGGCTGGGACTTTCCTCATCTTGGCTCTCAACCCCTCCATCAGATTTTTTGTATAAAAGAGCTGCAGCAGGAGTGGGGATGACTGGGGTTCTCTCAGACTCCTGCCAAATGCTAACAGGGGAGCTTGGGGGACTATCCCCCAAAACAGGAGAGGAAGAGGGGAGCATCCCGTGGTCTTCTTCTGTGGCCTGAGCACCCTGGAGACCCTGGGATTCATCTCGGGCATGCTGGCGTTTCTCACGGGCACGGAGCTTGCTCTTCTGACCACGAGGCATGATGAGTGTCTTGAGAACCCTGCAGAGGGAGTGAGAGTGAGCTTTAGGTCATAGCTTAATAGATCTGTCTGTGGCTTGCTGGGACTGACATCAGATGAAATCACTGGGGCTTTTTCTGTTCTTCAGAAGAAGTTAAGGACCTTTATATCAAGTGTTGGCAGGGCCTGAGTCCCCTTCCCTTTGCTACTCTGATGGTAATATCTTAACCCTTCCTGTAACCCACGAGAAGGAAATGAACGGGAACATCAGCCACCACTCCTGGCAGGGACATCCAGGGCTGACAATGCATGCTGAGGTCCAGTCAGTCCTCAGCCAAGCCCCTGAGTTTGACTCCAAGGAGGAACTAAGTTTCAGCCCTCTGCTGACATGTGACCACTCCCTCCAAACAAAGCTCTCACTTCTCTGTGCTCCACAAGAAGGAACTGAGACACGTGTCTGGCTGACATCTATCCCTGGGCATCCGATGGCTGAGGGATTCGGAAGTGCTCTCATTGTATGAAGTGGGAGATTCCTGCAGTCCTCAGGGTTCTTACCTTGACTTCTGGAATGACCTGGAAATCCTCCCTCTGCTGTCCGAAGACCGCCCTCTTAGACCAAGGCCCCCAACTTCCGGAGACCCCTGAGGATGAAATGAAGGGGCACCACAGACTTGAGTCTGGCTCCGACCCTACCACGGCCAATCCCGGGGAGAGGACTTGGGGAGACCCTGTGTATTAGACTGTAGAGTCTTCTCAGTCATCGCCTAGACTCCATATGTTGCTGTTGTTAGGTGCTGTCCCGCCGGTTCCGACTCATAGACCCCCTCGGCACAATAGAACGAAACACTGCCCGGTCCATATAAAACCAAAACCAAACTCTCTGCCGTCCAGTCGGGTCCGACTCATAGCGACCCCTCCTTGGGTTTCTGAGGCAGTATCACTACAGAAGTAGATTGCCCAACCTTCCTTCCGAGGAGCGGCTGGTGGGTTTGAACCGCCAGCCCTCTGGTTAGCAGTGAGAGAAGCTGCCTTCTTTGAATTGCCTCACTCGTGCCTCCCCTCTCCCTTTAACCAGAGTGGCTGGTGGGTTTAGGGCCTGAGATTTCTCCGTCTACTTGCCTGATACCACTAGCCTCAGACCAAGGCCTTCATCCCCTGGACAATGAGGGCGACGTCAGGGGGTGTTGGGCTTATCAACCAAGCTTGAGGCCTCCCATGGCTGAGGGGCGGGGCGGGGCGGGGTTCTGGGTCTCGTCTGTCCCGAGTGGGAATAGCCCAGCAGTTCTAACTCAGGATACTCACCTTGCGCTGAGAGATCTTGCAGCGCCTTCCTCTGCCGAACAATGGCTGCCTCTTTCACCTCGAGGCTTCACCCTCCTTGCTTCACGAGGGTGACGTCCTCCCGTCATTTCCGGCCACGTCTGCGTGGGCTCTACCATCATTCGCAGCTGGGGCGGGGTTCTGTGGGGTGCCCTCTTTTCCTGGATGTGTGTGGGGGATTGAAGCGGTTCCCACAGAAGTCACGTAGTGGCCTTTTATTGACACCTGGTAGGGCTTGGAACGGCTCCCTCACTGTGCCGACTCAGCTAGCTTCAGAACAAGGCCTTCATTTCCTGCACACCCCTAATCCAAAGTAAGAGGGAGTCTAAGACTAGCAACCAAGGGGGCGCTCTCCCAAGGCCGACAGTAGGGGCCTGAGGTTTAAGGGGGGCGGGAGAAGGGGGCGCTGAGAGGCTGAGCTTCTCAGGAGGCGGATCTCTGAGAGGCTGAGCTTCTCAGAAGGCGGGGCTCTGGGATGAAACCCTCAGTCCGCACTCAGCAGCTTACCTCAATTCCTACTAGGTTCTGGGACCTCTCTGCTGATCTCTGTCCATACCCCATTCCCTGAGACTAAAAACCAGAGACCATTCCTAGAGACTTTTGATGTAGAACTGTGGATACACCTCATCTGGTCATTCCCGTCTGGGGTGCCCGGGGCTGGCTGCCACCCTGGAGGGGCTGGAGGGGTTTGACTATAGAGTCCCTTCTCTTCTGGGGGTGGAGCCCCTCAGTCCTCATCCAGGGACCTCACACTGATTTCTTTCAGGGCCTAAATTTGTCCCTAATCTGACTTCAGTTAATCCCCCCACTCCTAAGACTCTGAAAACCCTAAGCGGAAAGTGAGGGGGAGTCTTACCTGACAGCTATACCTGGGTTTCCTTGGCTGACGTCAGGCCTGTGGTACAAAGATTCAGGAACGTGTCCCTTCCTTTATTGTGTGTGATGCCTGTCATACTAGCTATTCTATTTTACCCCATTCCTTATATTTGATTAAAATAATTATGAAAAAGGCCAGTCCTCATTTCCAAAACAGGTTTCAGATGGTTGTTAGCACAACGTTTCCTGCCACACTGTCTAAACTAACCCAAACATTTATGGTCTCTTACTCCTGTGGTAATGCCACTTGTCCTCTAAGGTGCTGCTTCAGATTCTGCAGTGGGGCAGTCGAAATTTATTGTCACAAGCCACTCTGGGAAGAAGTGAGGGTAGAAATACAATACTTTTCCTCCAATTGATTCTGTTGTTCACCTTTAATTGCAGGATACAGACGTGTTTCAACTTCAGGGCACACTCCTACCTGCACACACTCAGGTGTTCAACATAGACTTAGTGTCCCTTAGAGCTTTCCCATTTGTGTTGTTTTGCGGTTGTTACCGATATTGTTCTTTCTTTATTACTTTTTCCCCACAGGGTTAATTTTGAACATGGGAAACAGCAGCCCGAGATAGGTTGTCATCTTGGCTCTTAGGGGTAAGGCTCTAAATCTGTAAACAATTAAAGAACTATTGCTATCTTTAGTAGTCCCTGGGTGGCACAAAGGGTTCATCATGCTACCACCAACTGAAAGGTTGGCAGTTTGAATGCAGTCGCAGGCACCTCGGAAGAAAGGCCTGGAGATCTGCTTCTAAAAGGTCGCAGCCTCAAAAACTCTATGGAGTACCTCTACTCTGCACACATGGGGTTCCATGAGTCAGAACTGATTTCAACAGCACAAGCAGCAACAGTATTGACATCCTTATAATATTCTCAGGAGCTCTGGTAGCGTAGTGCCTAAGGCACTTGACTGCTAACCAGAAGGCTGGCGGTTCAAACCCACCAGCCACTCCTCGGAAGGAAGGTTGGGCAATCTACTTCCGTAGTGATACCGCCTCGGAAATCCAAAGAGGGGTCGCTGTGAGTTGGGGCCAACTTGATGGCACATAACAACAACAACAACATAATATTCTCTTCCCCATCAATAAACATAGAATACTGCTTTATTTCAGACTTCCTTTTCCGAAATCTAGCTCTGATGGTGTGGTGCCTAAAGCACTTGACTGCTAACCAGAAGGCTGATGGTTCAAACCCACCAGTCACTCCTTGGAAGGAAGGTTGGGCGACCTACTTCTGTAGTAATACCCCCTCAGAAACCCAAGGAGGGGTCACTATGAGTCAGATCTGACTCCATGGCAGTGAGTTTGGTTTGGTTTTGGTTTTTCCTAAATCTATCAGGAATTTTTTATATTTGTCCTTACAAAGATATTGTACATTTCTTTTAGGTGTATTTTATAAGTTGTTGGTATTGTGAATGGAACATTTTCCATTACATGTTCTAATTAGTTATCGTGTGTGTGTGTGTGTGTGTGTGTGTGTGGCCCGACTCCCATTTTTGCTGATTTTCTATACACCAGCTTTCTGAAGTTCTTTATAAAAACCAAAGCCAACACACTGCCATCCAGTCGGGAATACTACATCCAGCTGCCCAGCCGCTCAACCAGGCCCAGCCAGGTTGACACACAAACTTAACGACCACAGTTAAGAATATTGAATATGGAGAAGAGTATTGAATATGCCATGGACTACCAGAGAACACACAAATCTGTCTTGGAAACGTATAGCCACAGTGCTCCTTGGAAGTGAGGATGGTGAGACTTGTCTCCCACACTTTGGTCATTTTATGAGGAGGGACCAGTCCCTGGAGAATGCTATCATGTTTGGTAAAGTAGAGGGTCAGCAAAAGAGGAAGACCCTCCACACGATGGATTGACACGACACAGTGGCTACAGCAATAGGCTCAGACATGACAAAGATTGTGAGGATGGTGCAGGACCAAGCAGTGTTTATTCTGTTACGAGTCAGAAGTGACTCAGGGCATCTAACAAGAACAGCGGTGCTTTTAATCACTGTTCAGAAAAAGATATGCTGCTTTTTCCATCTCTTCACACTGAGGAGTATTTCTGTATCTTGTCTGCCTTTAGAAATTCAAATTTGTTTCTTTGCTGAATTCCCTTAAAATCTCCTTTCCTCCCTAATTAAAATGTGATTTAAAGGCACAGTCAGATTGCAATTAAGCTAGTTTTGACCTCCATACAATAAGCGCTTAGAATCTCAGTAATTTCTGATTTATGGTGCAGTTCCTCAGTATTAGTGATTGATATACTCAAATCACCACAATAACAATGACATTTGTATTTAGAATAATTTGCAGTTTCAAACTTAAAAATTGTAGAGAATCATGTTCAATGTTATCATGTGATTTTTTTTACACAAAATAATCAGAAACAAACTGGGTTAATAGTTAGCATAAACTTCTTCCCTGTAACATTTACATGTCTGTCTGTCTGTCTGTCTATAATCTATTAGTTCTTGGCAAAAAAGTAACATGTGAAATTTTTCTACTTGTGTAGTTCTTATTAACTTCACTTAGGCCTTTTGAGATTATTTGATTGGGACATAGTTTTGAGATTATTTGATTGGGCCAGACTCAATCTTAGGAAAATCTGTTCTCTAGAAACCTTCCACCAGTACGTAAGTAGAAACCAAATGTGTGACACTCAGTATGAGAGCTTTTAGAGACAAACCTTATGGTTAAGGATATTTCCTGTTCTATGAAAACTGAAGCAAAGCTTGAAAAGAGAATGAATAAAGAAATAGTATTTTCTTACCTCCCACCATATTAGTTAGCAAGGTAAGCATTTGAGATGCCCAAAAGCTTTTATTAAT